ACACACACACAGGAAAACGACACACAGAGAAGAGAGAGAGAGAGGAAAACGACACACACACACACAGAACACAGAGAAAGAGAGAGAGAGGAAAACGACACACACACACACACAGAAAGAGAGAGAGAGGAAAACGACACACACACACAGAACACAGAAAAGAGAGAGAGGAAAACAGAGACACACACACACACACAGAACACAGAGAGAGAGGAAAACGACACACACACACAGAGAACACAGAGAAAGAGAGAGAGAGGAAAACGACACACACACACACAGAGAAAACGACACACACAGACAGAGAGAAAACGACACACAGAGAGAGAGAAAACGACACAGAGAGAGAGAGAAAACGACACACAGAGAGAGAGAGAAAACGACACAGAGAGAGAGAGAGAAAACGACACAGAGAGAGACAGAGAGAGAGAGAGAAAACGATGTACAGAGAGAGAGAGAGAGAGAGAGAGAGAGAAAACGACACAGAGAGAGAGAAAAAATGAGTGAAAAAATAGGGAGAGAGAAAGGAGTGTGGATGAGAAAGAAAATATTTCATCGCTTCAAAAGTTTCCAGATTTTTTTTTTTTAAACGAAACTTTCTATTTTGTAAAATTCATAGCATCATCATTCAGTCAAGTACGTATTTTTCTTCTGCAACCTTCCAGATAATGTGCAGTCCATTTTGAGTCGATGAATTCTACGAGCAATTTTTCTATTTTATGAAATTGCTGGAACTGTCAACCAAAGTGTTGCCTAGAGGGAAATCATAATTCGAAAATGACAGACCTGAAAAATACGTTGCGTGTTGAAGAACCTCCCAATTTCAGAATCATTTGCTGTCCAGCATTTATAACATGAACAGGAGATGATCGCATACAGCAAGATAATTCGACGTCGTCTTCCTTTCTTTTACTTTCCATCATTCAACTAAAACACGTTACTCTTATTAACAATATTCTCAGTCCTAGTAGTTCGTAAGAACTCCCTTTAAAACCGGACAAACACAAAGGAATTTTTACCTGTATATTCCGGTTAATGAGATTTTTAAAAAAATTGTCCTAGATCGACGCACTGTTTTCGGCATTTGGATTTTTTTTTTTTTTACTAATGTTCCCCAAGAGCCACTCAAGAAAGAGGGTTATTTTACAGTGTTGTATGAGCGTAAAAAAATGCAAAGAGTACTTCATGAGGTTATGTAAGAAGAATAACCCAAGAAACATAGATGCTTAACTTATTTGAATAGTGTAATAACAGGCGACAGTAAGTATGACATATCCAAAGATAAATAGAAAAAACACAAGATGTCTTTCAGAAATTAAGTATTAAGACATGAGAAAATATCGCCAGAAACAAATGAATGAATGCAGAAGTTAAGCAACGTCGAGCCTGGTCAGTGCCTAGATGGATGACTGCTTAGAGATACCAGATGGTTTAAGTTTGAATGTGCGGGTGGTGTAATGGATAATGGCTCGGAATTGGAAATCGGAGAGCGAAGTTCCAATTCTAGGAGGGTTCGTTATAGTCACTTACGCGCAAATACCCTCTTCTCCCCCAGATATGGGTTAATTAGTAGGACATATTAGTAAATCGTTATTTACAAAAAAAAGTCTTACAATCTAAAAAAGTTCTGGCTTTATCTGCAAATGGTTGATAAGCCACAAAAAACGAAAATTTAATCTCGTATATGAGAGTAAGTGCTAGATAATGTCCTCACAGACTAAAAACGAATCAGAGATGTTCTACTAAGGAATGCTGTTAGAAACAAGGATGTTCTAAGGAAAATAGGAATTACAAAGTGCCACATTCATAGAGATAACCAAAATGTTTGGAACATATAATTCGGAAATAAGAACAGTGATTTCAACAAACTCAAGAGGGACTGGAGAATTTAACACTCACGGGGCATAGCGAATCAAAGTAACCTACTTAACGAGTTTGAGTGAATGAACAAAAACGAATGATAAAGTATCAAATTAATACAAAAAATATATATAGAAAAAACAGGAAGTTGTGGAGAACCATGATCAAACACGTTCTGAAAGGTCAAGGTACTTAAAAGACAGTCGAAGGAGCAATAAAGAAATTATTCAAAGGCACTGCCAAGATTTCGCTAATATTTTTCAAAAGACTGTGTCGGAGACATTTGCATCAACACGAAACGTACATACAGACAGAAACAGCAATTCCCCCACATTTTCTGGCATGCTGACACACTCACAGACGTATACAGACCGATCACATAATACACACACAATCTTAAATATATAACCAGCATCACCTTGCACAATCACAGAAAATCGAAGACGTAGAGAGAATCGATTGTTTTCATATGTAGGTATCTATAGATCAAATCAGCCGTGTACGCACTTGCTTGAACGTTCGGTAAAACAAAACATCTAATCTCAAATATTTTACAAGCACAAGATGGAACTATTGAATCTCACACGCCAGAAGAATCTATAAATCCTTGCTGAGCATAGCTTAGTCTGACACGGGGCCATTTCATATATATATTTTCAAACAAATTTTATTAAAATTGATCGACAAGGTCTGTTTCATTTTATTCTTACATTATTCAAGAATACGTATAAAGCAGTCACACATCAGATTCTGATATTTTTATACTAGAATTCATCCACTACAAGGCTAGAGAGCCACTCAAAGTAGAGTGCTAGTTTAAAAATGTTAATCATGAGGCGTGTTATATGAAGTAAATATTACGAGTACTAGGCGGATAGATATCGTTTGACACAAAATTTCATGGTTCAGAAAAGTACCCACACGGGAGTGTTCCAGAAAGTAGCAGTCTTGAGAGAAAAGCTGAGTGGAACGTTGCTTCTTTTTTTTCAACTGGAGAATTTAAGAAACTATACAAAATTTCATCATGGTTTTGTTCGTGTACTTACGATTCTCTCTTGTCTTTATCATAAATGTTAAAATTATAAGTGCCCTAAAATGTCGTTATCATTTTTGGAACGATTTAATTCTGACTTGAATATGTGTATCGTGTTCCAATTGATGACAGGTTTAAAACGGTTTTTTGAGCTATATAAAATGTGTTGTCACTTTTGAAAGAAAAATTTAAAAGCAAAGCAATAAAGCCACTAAGACGAGTGATAACTTATTGTGAGAGAATGAGAAAACCATTTTTAACGGTTAATATTCCATTTACATTTTAGAAGATCAAAGTTAACTGGAAGCAAGAAGCTGGAAGAGAGTTTCAGAGGTGAGATACGTGAGAGAAGAAACTGTTAGCATAGAACTTACGGCTATATCTAGCCACTTCAAATGTAAAATGAGACCTTGCCGCCAATCTAGCACGCGCTTAAATTCATAATGTCTAGGTACCACAGAGGAAAGCTCATCAGAACAATTACCATGAAAGTATTTATAAAAAAAGGCAGAGGGAAAGTGAAGCTGAGATGCCAAGACATTGCATATTATTCTTTGATTTTATCTAAAATCTGTAAATACATCAGACCAGATATGACAGCAATAATCAATGCATGGGTGAATGGTAGACTTATAAATGTACGAAGTAGGTGCTGGCAAGAAAAATTGTCTTGCCCGACACAGAGAATCAACTTTCTAGCAGCAGACCTAGGAGTTGATTCAATATAAACTTTCCACTTGGTGTCATCGGAAAGCGTTAGCCCATATCTGCATCAAAACTAAAGAGTTATCTCCCTTGCAGCAGCGATGTGGCGAAATAATCTATAATGATCAGCAAGCAATAAACTGATCGGGAAAGAGCCAAACATTAATAATTAAAAAAGAATCTTTTATAATACACACGTGTAAAAAGGTAATAATTGTAAGGGCTTCACAAAATACGCCATTTTTCACAGCAGGGTTATGTAGTATTAATGATTCTACTGGGCATAAATTGGGAGATCGGTTTTCTATTGTTATTAAGTTAGAAACTGATCACCACAGAAATACCGTATATTAATATAATTAGAAAACATTTAAGGATTCATAAGTGAAAAGCTAATAATAAAATAGGGTTAACAAAATAGGCCGCCATTTTTATGGCTTTGATGTGTTAGTATTAATATAAGATTCTACAAGACATAAAGTGGGGGATCGGTTATCCATTATTATGAAGTAATAAACTGATGCCCAAGGATTACTACATATTGATATTATAAATGGAAAAATATCCAGGCATGCATGTGAAAGCCTCATAATAGCAAGTATTTAACAAAAGAATACCGCCATTTTTTTACTAGAATTCTATATGAGTATAACCATAAAATATCAAAGTTATTTTCCAAGAAGCCGATTTTGAAAATCAGCATTCAAAGTTCTAATTTTTACGTCGGCTCGAACAATAACGATCAGCGTCAATGAGTAAAATACCCAAGTACCTAAAACAGCAAAGGCTCGAGAATGCTACTTTAAAAATCCTGAAGTGTCTTATATGAGGAAAAGGCGGATAGAGTCTGATCAAAGCCAAATTGGATTATTGCCGCCATATCTGGGCAGGCGCTAACCAATCTTCACTGTTCAGTCTTGACTGAGTTCAAGAGTGTTTACACGGACTTGTGGTGATGAATTACTGTCCTTCCTACAAACCCCTCCCGAAATAGAGGCATCGTCGCAAATTCATCTATTTTCATGGAAAATATTCCACGAGTTCATTACACGCCATATAGTCTACTTAGTCGAATTAACCTCATTCACTTCCTTGGTAAAAAGGAAGCCCTATTCGAACAGCTTCTTCACAAAGGCCGCCATTTTATGAAAAACACCAGAGAGGATCCCCCCCCCCCGATCACTACAATGTTAACTTTTCTAGGGTCAAATATATATATATATATATATATATATATATATATATATATATATATATATATATATATATATATATATATATATATATATATATATATATATATATATATATTTACAATTTATTCACACTTGTATTGCATTCACATCACGTTGGAACACCGGTTCCCGTGCAATCTTCGAAGTTAAGCAACGTCGAGCATGGTCAGCACCTAGATGGGCGACCGTTTGGGAATATCACGTGCTGTAAACTTGGGTGTGCGGGTGGTGTAATGGATAATGGCTCGGAATTGTTAATCAGAGAGCAGAGTCCCAGTTCACGTTGGATTCGTTGTAGTCCCTTACGCGCAAACTTGGGAAAGGTATGAATCCACCTTTTCCCCAGCTAGCTATGGGTTAATTAGTACAATTTATCACTAAATCATTATTCCAAAAATTTCATAGCTCAAAACATGCTTGGTTTTAGATAAAATTAAATATTCGCCCTCCACATTCATATACGTCATTTAGAACCTTCTAACTTGAGTGTTTCTTTGACCTTCCATTGGGTGAACATTACTTAAGATTACTAATTTGCGACATCGTCTAGTAGGCGGGTGTAATTAGTTCTATACAGAATTCCTTTAACGTTTTGGTTGCCTCAACTATATATATATATATATATATATATATATATATAGTTTTGCCAGCCCAACTATATATATATATATATATATATATATATATATATATATATATATACACACACACGAGAGAGCACAAAGCTAATATTCATGCAATTAATTTTTACAGCTATTCAAATTTATTGTTCATCGCTGAGTATGCGTCGATACTTCTTCGTTTTGCTCTCTACAAATTTAACCTCGTGTCAAACTTAGCTTGGTCTGTGGTATTTGCATCATACACACATACCGACAAACATTGGCGTTAAGGGTGCACAGGTAGAGAATGTCGACTTCACGCAGGCACGCACATAGACGCCTACAATGGAATCTGCCTTGGGGGAATATCCCGCCTGATGTACGAATTGGAGTAGATCGATCGCAACCAGTTCATGACGATCTCGTTCCTTTGCGCCCGACTCTAACCAGCGCCATTTTTCACTTTTACTTATTATCGCTGGTTCTTTTTCTTCATCGTTCTAGTCTTATTTTTATTACTTTCTATGTTCCAATTCTTGTCTTTCTTTTTCTCTTTTCCTGTATTTATTGTTCTTTTTCGACTACAATTTCTTTATATCTTCTACATTTGTCTTTTTAACCTTTTCTGCTGCTGATTCCTCTTTTTCATTTTGATTATTTTCTTTTAATTTTTTTCTTTCTTCCTCTATTTCGTTTTCTATCACTTTCCTTTTTTTTTTCCAATTTGCTTTTGTATTCTTTGTTTCTTCTATTTACTACTCTTCCACTTTTTTTCTATTCTTTCTATAGTTTTTTTAGCTCTTATTTTCTTGGTTTCGTCTTTGTCTTCATCGCCGCCATTTTATGTTTTTCTATTTGTTTTTGTTCCTTTTCTTTTAACTTTATCTTTGCTTCTTCCTTTCCATCATATATATATATATATATATATATATATATATATATATATAACTTTTCCCTTTTACTTTTATTTCTAATCCTTTTTCCGTTATTTTATTTGTTTTTTCTCCATTCTTTTTCTTACGATTTTATTCATTTGATTTTTTTTCTTATTCTACCTTTTATTTCATTGTCTTGTTTTTCTAGTAGACTTGCTTATTTTCTTTCTTTTTATGATTCATTATGATCATTTGCGTTCCACTTCACTTAAAACTTTCCCTCTTTGGTTACTCTTTCCTTTTTAATGGTATTTCCTTACGACGTTTGATCAACGTTTTTCTCCTTCCTCACTGAAGAGTTTCATTTTTCCCCTCTCGATCATTATCTTCTATCCATTGTCTGCTTCTTTTCATTTGCCTTTTATTTTACTCATTTTTTCTTTAACATTCGCATTTTCTCCTCCGCCTTGTCCTCTTCTTTCTTTATCTTCCTTTCTGTTACTATTTTATTGTGCTACTCTTCTACATCCTATTTTCTTTCTACACTACAATTATCCTCTCTGCGTTCCTCTTTATTTTCTCTTTTCCTTAACCTGTTCGTTTCCCCCCATCTCCTCATTCCACAAACACCGCCACCATTTCCTACGAACGTACGATAAGAGACTATTGATTGTTACTGTTCCTGCCCCCGACCTCACCTTCCACATCAAGCCAACCATTCCCGTGTCTGTGACTACGTCTGATATTCCAAGCTCTCTCCAGACACACGACTGCGTTTGCTACTGCCACTGCTATTAAGTTCTTTTTCTTCTTCCTTTCTTGCCTTTATTTTGGTGCGTGCAGAGCATGAACGAAGCCCACACTGAGTTGGAAGACCAATGGCTGACTTTCTTACTCGGCTGCCTGGTGTATAAATAGTCGCATGAAAAACCCTGCCCGCTCGACAATTTTAAACCAGAGAAAGTGATTCCGGAAAACATTTGGCGGTTACCAAATATTTCAGCTGATCATGTACAAATATAAGAAAAAATTTCTTTCAAAAGTCACACAAAATCTATCTCATAAGTTTTTAACAGAAGACATGTTTTGTATATAATATTTAATATTTTTCTATTGTACGAATATCACAAATGCTGTTCATGTGCTTGAATCGACCAAAATTCGTGTAGCCCCAAGCTTTCGAATTGCACGTCATCGTAGCGTCGAGAGAAGAAAATTATACCAATCCTAGTTTTAGACCAGACAGAATAATGAATCTCGCAGAAAAATTAAATTCTCTTCAAAATTACGCGGGTCGAATGGCATGTTCTCGAATACTATAAAACACATTTTAGATCGGCTAAAATAACTAACAAAATATTTACTATGGCATTTTTTAGACCATGGACGACCATGAACCTTCACTACTTCCATTTTTTTTTTTTTTTACTCTAGTTAAATGCTTACCATTCCTCTTTGTCCCGTTTTTTCATCGATTCACTCAAAACTAAGTAGTTTACACGCAGCTTCTCCTGCTTTAGTATGTCTTGAGTGTATTGAATTCTCTAGACATTTCCCAATTATTTCCTCCAGATAATTCATGTCTATGCGATTGTTAAAATTTCTTTATGGCTTCTATTTTCCTTTAGACTTCTTAATTACTCATTTGTTCTGTTCATAGTGTTCTTCAATAGGACTGCATCTGTCTCCTTCATCTGTCAGACTGCACAGCATTCACAGCCATATAGAAGATTAGGTATTATATAGCAGTCCAGCTAACTTTCCTTTGGTTCTAACGAAATTTTCGTGTTAATACTTAGATTGGTTTCTGGAAGACATTTTACACCCTTCCTATGGGCCTTCGAGTATTTTGTGTCACATCTTCCGTCATCTGTTACCACACTACACCGTGAAATTGTTTGCACAGGTTTAATTTTGGCGCTTCCTATACGAAGCTCAGAATCTGGGTTGTATAGCAATATCAGTTGTCAGCCGAAATCTTGTAGCATGATATTACAGAAATTATTTTGACAATTATACGAAAGCTGAGAGTAAAAGTCTGGTCTCTATAAGACAGTGGTCCCTAGCAGCCTAAAGCAGAGGACCGCTCGCCCGCCACGCAAAAGAAAGGTACACACCGGTTAGACTGTTCACCCTCCTTCACCTCGCCTCATTTTTCATCGCTCGCTTACAGCCGTCCCTTACGAGAGGATTGTAATTTAATCATTTTCTGACTGCTACAATTTCGTCTCATGATTCTTTTTCTTAGGTAACGATCCGACAAAAATTATTTTCCTCCTATTAAGCCACAAGCGTTCGACTAGAAGCTGTCCCCTGCGAACAAACGAACCTGGTGTCTGTAGCGCTACTGATGTCACTTTTGCTAATGACCTAAACATTCTATTTCCATCCCCACACGATTTGAAATTAGACAAAGTATAAGGCTATGTAGTTTTAAAAATGTCTGTATAAGGCTATGTAGTTTTAAAAATGTCTGAGACAAGTCAGAAATACGATATCCTCTTCAAATTTTATAGATCTGAATATGTTAAAATGGACAGGCCTCTAATGTCCAGGTTAATTACATTTAGTGATTTTTTTTTTTCTACGACAGTAAACGCTTCATTTATGACAGCAGCTATCCTGTGATAAAACGTTTTGCAAATAAAGTTGTCTCCATCGGAGAGTGATCTGTCTTGTGGCCAAGAAAGAAATTAATTTGCTATTATGTTGTAAACTCTGCATTCAGACGTAGAAAGAAAGAATTCGAACAAGAGACAAGTTCTCCTTTCGAATCGTGTAATCACTTGATACGTTGCTGGTTGAAACGGCCCACTTATCTGAGCGCTTGAAAGGTAGAGACAAAGCATCTCTCTCAATGTTCCTTTCTATCTCTTTTCAGGAATGTTTGCTAGTCGCTTTGTATGTGTGCTCCATAGTCAAAACCCCCATCAGCAGGACGTGTACTTACTCGGTCATGTGTCTTCCTTTAATCATTTCACCGAATACACGAAAGACTAGTTCTTTGATCCGACAAAGTCGTTCAATATTTTACAATTGAGGAGAGGAAGGAGAATAAAATGGCGGCTCTATCAGCAAACTAGAAAAGGGTCTGCCCGAATTATTACTACGCTCTGTGCGAGTCACGTAAATTCAGTAGTTTTTAGAACATTGTGTGTGTATATATAAAGAAATATACTCTTGAGGTGTGCTATATTTATGGGATAAAGTGCTCAATATCAGAGAGCGTGTGTAAATATAAAAGGGAACATTGAAGTCAACACTTAGAGGCCTCTAAGTGTTAACTTCAATGTTCACATAATATATACATATATATATATATATATATATATATATATATATATATATGGTTGGCTATTTATGCTAAGGTGACTAGATAATCCCTTCTGAAGATGACATTTGTTTTTGCTCAACAACCACAGATCCAATCTGCAAATATGCGGCTGAGTTAATTTTTTTGTGAGCGCATATTCAGGCGTTTGAACAAGGCTATTTCGCCGAAACCCTTGGTTATGATGACGTGTTAGCACAGCCATAGGGTAAGTAAGTACCTTGTTACCTACAAAGTTCCCAATAACTAGCATATATCAATAGTCAAGCTACCACCAAACACAAATGGCCTGATTATGCATGAAACTTTAGCGACCACTTTATATATGTAAAAATCCGTGGGTAAATAATCCAAGTGAATCCTAAGATATTAAAACTGATACACAAAGATGGTGTTGCGGGGAGAAATAGCTATACATATAAGGTATTTTTGAATTCCTCTTATATGCAAGATATATACACGCAAATAAAACGAATAAAATTCCAACGTTCAAAACATGGTTCAATACAAGAGTAGACCAATAAATATTTTATACTCTTTTACATTCGAACATGTAAGTTATTACTACAAAGTTGTACGTTTGTTGTAATAATTATGTTCTAATGTAATATGTTTTATATATATATATATATATATATATATATATATATATATATATATATATATAATCCTGATTGTATATCTAAGAAAAATGTTGATGGTATTTCTGAAGAACGCGTTTACAGCAATTAAATTATTTTAATGAAAAATGTTCACTATCAAAAAGTGAGAGCATTTATAGTAAAGAAATTAAATTAAATATCCAGTTATCTGCCCTTACTCTGATTTTCTTAAATTCAATCCACTGATCAGGAAAATTGATTTTATGACAGCGGAACAAGATCATTCTAAATCGTAGATTAAAATAGTCTTTACTATCGGCTTGAGCGTTTGAACTCCTAATCTATATGCCACCTCATCCACGATCCAACGCTTCAATCCACACATTTTAAGTTCAATCCTTGGGTCAGGTAGAACGGATTCAAACTCTGGGAATAAAAGCAATAACGAAGCTTTACTAAAACACGAACGAATTAAATCTAAACATGGCAGGTGGAAACCGCCGTAGATCAAATAAAGGGTCAGTTGGAAATTCCCCTGTAGATTTCCTGGACTGACAAACCTGAAGAAGGCCGGAGGAGAGAACGGCTGAAACATTGTGACAATAAAGATGAGAATATATACAACCCCTCATCCCAGAAATTGAAACAAATTTAAAAATTAAAGAAAAAATAACGAAAAAAAATTTGTTCATTTTTTTTTGCTTTTTCTTTTTTAAGAGAGAAATGCAAACATTTGTTTTACAGTATTGTTTCAATAACATGCTGAATGTTCATGAGATATGTTTTCTTAGTGACCAACAGATATTGCGACATGCTACGATTTATGCTTTATTGCGGTAAATAAACATAGTAGACAATGAAGAATGGCGCAAGTTTACATTCTCAGCACTGGATAAACTCATGTTTCTTTTTATATCATTTCATTCCAAGCGAGGCAGTAACGCCTCTAAAACGCAACGGGTTTGAGTGTTAGCGAATAGGAGACAAAATTTTAAGGAGAGCGAGAACAATAAAAGAACATGAATTAAGATAACGATTGACATTGCATTTAAAATTTTGAAGAATTGACTGGAAAGCAAGAGTTCCACAAGCGAGAAGTTAGAGAAAAGAAACTGTCAGCATAGAACTTACGGCTACATCTAGCCACATCCACTGTAAAATGAGATCTTGCTGCCAATCTCGTGCCGCGCTTAAATTTATAAAGTCTATTAGGAGAACATTTCCCATTCCCAGCCGTGTTCGTTATATTTACTTACGCGCAGATACCCTGGGGGAGGTATGTATGGTTTAATTAGTAAGACTTGTATCAATAAGGCATTATCTCCAAAAAATTCTATCTAAAAATATTTTCTGGCTTTAAATAACCTGCAAAGGTTTCATAAACCGTAAAAATCAAATCAATCATTGAGAATAACGATATAATCATATTTATATTACATTAAATAAAACCGTGAAAAGGACATGCGAGCTTTGTTTTATTTTTACAGTAAATTTGGGCCCAAAAGCCAGTAGACTAATTACTAAATGAGATTGTTGTATGGATGTAAGACGGGGGTTTCATTTGGTTTATTTTGTTTAACGGCATAATCAACCTCAATTGGTTATTTAATGCCGACATTTTTAGGATAGATTCCTATGAATAGAATATGTATTCTTTGGTTTAGGTTGGTTTGGTTTACGGCATATCAACCTCAAGGGGTTATTTAATTCTGACAAAATTTTATTGCTGGTAATATTTTGTTTTGTCAAAAATCTGTTTCTGGTAATATATTTCCTTCAAAATTGTATTGCTGGTAATAGTTAACTATTTGCCCATAGCTGGGACCCTAACAGGTGCTACCACCCCGGGTCAGGGTGGACCTGGG